CACTTATATTGATTACATATTACCCCTAAATACTAGATAAAATATTCAGAAATATGTAATGATCGTGAAGTGATATAATTATTGTTAGACAAATTAAGCATTCTTCCCTTTTTAGTGCACTACTACCCATTTTTACACAAAAATATCTATTTTAGCACTATATTTCGAGATAACCGTCTATCCAGAATTATATGTAATACACAGATACAACTATAAATAAAATAATAAAAAAGCTGTATACAAGATATCATAAAACAAGAGATGAAATAAAAGAAGTTTTTATTAAGAGGGTTCTTAAATAAAACGTATAAAGACATACTCACGTTAACAAAATACATTAGGAAATTTCCGCATATGAAACAAAATCCAATTTGGTAATGAAATCCTTTTGTATCTATAAAGCTATTTTTAGAGAAGCACGTACCTACCAAAAACAGGTAGTTATTAGTATACATATCTGTTACACACTGTAATGCGTATGAATGATAACAAAAATAAGAAGTCCATATAAACATGCTTTATTGAAAGAGGTAAAAGTACACTGCTAAGAAAGTACATTGTATTTCTTATACTTTCATTTAATCCTCTCCAATCAAGATTTTAAAGCAGCTTCACTCCATTAGTCCATGTTTGTTGCTTTTTGTCACTGTTTCTCCTTTGTCTTTATCATTATCATAACGTAGCGCTACAACACTGGGTAGGTCTTCGCTAACTACAAATTTTCTCCAAGTTGATCGATTTTCCACGAATCTGTAATCAACTGAAATGTTATTTTTTTTAGATATGGCATTTTCTGTGCTAACTTCCTTCCATACCAGTTTTATAAGTTTGACATCTTGGCGTCTTGCATGAGCATATGCATCTTGGTGTCCGATCTACCTTAAGGGATTTATTTTCCGGAACAATATCGTTATAAGAGCTTTCTTTATTTAGTATGTGTTCTTATTCTATGCAGATTTGTAGCGATATGATAATGAGGTTAAAAAATGTTTATTATTTTTCTTTCAAATATTCGTAATTCTTCCTTACTTGTTTTACTCATTGTCCATGATTCGCATCCATGTATTAAAATAGGTCTAAAGTTTGAATTATTCTCTGTATTTTTTAGTGGCATTATTATTAACCGTGATAATTTATCTTATAAGATATTTAAAGTGTTCCATATTTTGGAAATTGTGATTTTTAACTTTAATATTTTATCTAGATTTATTGAATTGGTCTCTTTTGTTGATTCGCTTGTATCTGGTTTTCATTTCGTTGATTTTAAGTGAAAAATTTTTCGCGCTCTCTTCACTTTATTGAAGATGTTTGCGGACTAGAGAGTTTCTTATGAGATCTATATCATTAGCAGGAGTGCTTTGTACCTTGGGCCGGTAATGGATTACGTCTTAAATAGGCGATATTTCTATTTTAGTAGGCTGTTTATTAATTTTTTGACTATTTGAAACGGTCCTGCAAGTGACAACAGTAGGTTTATTTAATTTCGCTTCGTAATAAAGTTAAAATTATTCGGGAATTACAAGTTAGAAAATTCAACCGAGTTCAAAAATAAGTATCAAAAGTTAAGTGCATACAGGTGATATTAGTTAATAAAGAAAATACCATCAGACAAGTAAGATAGAACTATTTTAATAATTTTAACAAGTCTTAAGTAAATGAATAATTGAGTGAAAGATTAAAAAAGTGGTTTTGGCGAATGTTCGAAGGGTCTTAGGCATTCCTACGCGTTTTTTGTTTTTGTTTTTTTTTTTGGCAGATAAGAAAGTAATTCGTGCTGACAAGAAATTAATGATCAAAATAAAAGCCACATAATTTTATTATAAAAATCCAGATCTGGCCTTAAAATAGATTTGATTAAAGTTGGGATTAGAATTAAATTAAAATAATAAATTAAAAGTAAATGTAATACAATAACTAAATCAAATGAACAGCAAAAGAAATAAGCCAGAACACGATAACTCATTCGACGAGGAGGAAGCCATCAAAAGAAGCAAAGCCACGTTAAGAACATCTCCAAAGGATAACATAAAAAATCGCGAAATGGAAGAACTAAACAAACTACTAGAAGAAATAAATAAGGAGATTAAAATGGAAATAAAAGAGCTGAAAACAGAAATGAAGGAAGAAAATAAGGAGATCAGAAGATATATAAATGAAGTTAAAGAAGAGATAAAACAAAATAACGAAGAAATAAAAAGCATATAACTGGAAATAGAAAGGGTGAAGGAAGAATGGACAAGAGAAAGAAGAACTGAAAAGAGAAAACGAACTAACCAAAACCGATAACAAAAAGATAACGGAAGAATTAAATGATCTAAAACGCTCATTAGAAAGGTTAGACAAAGAAAAAAGAATATAATCATCAGTGGATAACAAATAGACTCTGAAGACCCAAAAACATTGAAAGAGGGAATGACTACTATATTAGAAAATCATCTTGGAGTCAAAACCAATATTAAAAGAGCACAAAAAATAGGAACAAAAACATGCTTAATTGAACTTGAAAGCGAAGAAGAAAAAACAACAATCTTAAGAAACAAATACAAACTTAAGAATGTGAAGATCGAAAAAATATGGATTACAGAGGATCTCACAAAAGGAGAGAGAGAAAATGGAAGCTTTAAGAGATAAAGCAAGAGAAATGAGGGAAAATGGAAAAATGGTTAAAATAGGATACAATAAAATCACAGTGGACGGCAAGGAATGGAGATGGTGCTATAAAGAAGAAAAGTGTTGGAAATAGCGTGTTCAAAAAACTACCAGAGCAACATAAAAAGAACCAAGGAGAGGCCAAGCAACGAGTAGAGAAAGAAGAATTACTAAATAAACCGGACAATGATGACAAATGTTTAGTTTTAAGTAGTAATAGGAATAGGATTAGAAATAATAAAAATAGATTATTAATCAATTTTAAGCCAAACCCCGGACATGTCCCTAATAGAGACGCTTTCACAAATCTGAAGATATACCTGAACCAATAGTGTCATGAAATCCTTAAACTCTGGACTTGCTATAAATACCTTGAAGATAGTTTCTATCACAGAACTTTGTTTAAAACCAAATGGCAACCTAGAACCAGAAAAATAATATTCTCCGCAAACTTGTCAGCTCAAAATAGGAAGCACATTCTTCCACCCTTAAAACGTAGACTTAAACTCTATGCTTTTGCTGCCGAATATACCTTGCTAGTATGAGTGATAAAAACACATACTTAACACGTAAGTATATTTAGCTATAAATTAGTCAGTCATCAGATCATCACATCTGCAAGATATACAAAAAAAGGAACTTCCTTATGGTTGTTATCTTCCTTAAATTTGCCTGGAGGACTCTTGCCTGCAAACACCGGTTAACCTGTGTGAATGTGGGGTAGTATAAGATTCATCACACTTTCTTAGTTGACTTTTCCATTCAAATCGCTCTTTCTTGAAGGGACAAGGTTTATTTATTTGAACTAAACATGTTAAGTATAGCCAGTAAGCTTTTACTTATAAAGATCATTGCAAATTTGAAACTAACTCCACTTATATTGATAACATATTACCCCTAAATAGAAAATAAAACATTCAGAAGTATGTAATATTGGAGAAGTGGTATAATGCTTGTTAGATAAATTCTTTCTTTTTTTGTGCACTACTACCCATTTTTACACAAAAATATCTATTTTAGCACTTAAATATTTATTTTGAGATAACCTTTTATCCAAACTTATATGTAGACATAGATAAAACCAGAAATAAAATAATAAAAAAGCTGTATACAAGATATCATAAAAACAATGGATGAAATAAAAGAAGTTCTTATTCATCGGATTCTTAAATAAAACTTATGAAGACATATTCACGTTAACAAAATACATTAGGAAATTTCCGCATATGAAACAAAATCCAATTTGGTAATGAAATCCTTTTGTATCTATAAAGCTATTTTTAGAGAACTCGTACCTACCAAAAACAGGTAGTTAATAGTATACATATCTGTTACACACTGTAATGCGTATGAATGATAACAAAACTAAGGAGTCCATATAAACCGTCCAGACTTTACGCGAGAATTATACATCTTATAGCAGAGTTGCCAAACTACCAGAGCTTACTTAAACCGATATACATATGGTTCCAATATACAGTGAAAAAGATCTGAACGACCCCTATAATATATACACGTGAACTAAGCGATATACATTTATGATACAGGGATAATTATGGGCTCCAAAATTTTTTAAAAATTATGAAACTATACATGTTGACGAATCGACAGAGCCAATATTATGGCATGGTCAAGTGAACTCCGTATATCGGTGTCCACTTGACCACGGAGCTCACCTGAACCTGAATTTTAACATGGGCGGAGTCCACTTTATGCCGTAAATATATATATATATATATATATATATATAATATATATATATATATATATATATATATAATATATATATATATATATATATGTAAAAGATTAAATCTTTTAGCGAAAGCCGCTATCGTTTTATTGAATTAAATATGGCCAAAGAGCCAAAGAGTTTAACGAATTTGTCCTACTAGGACAAATTCGTTAAACTTCCCGTGCTCAAATCAGTATCAGTATCAATAAAGTATTATGATCATTTCGGCCTATCCCAGCCTTATCAGACCCTTGGGCTGATACAAATTCAAACTCGGAAAGTCCAACGAATGTCTACCAAAACTTCACTACAACGTAGTTAGCTTACAAAGGCGCCGTGTAAACGCGAAATATGTAAAAGATTAAATCTTTTAGCGAAAGCCAGTATCGCTTTATTGAATATTTGAATTAATTGAAATAATTATATATATATATATATATATATAATATATATACAATATATATATATATATATATATATAATATATATATATATACAATATAAATATATATATATATATATATAATATATATATATATATATATATATATATATATATATATATATATATATATATATATATATAATATATACAATATCCTATTTTTTTCTTCAGAAAGTGATGAAAGACAACTGACAGGTCCCTGCAAAGGAGACACTGGTGCAGGATTCTTCATATCCATGTATGGAGCATACTATTTAAGAGGTATAGCATCGGTTATTCCATTTAAAGACGGAAATTGTGATTTGACAACCAGATACGTAGCGTTTTGTGACGCTGCCAAGTTCTCGGATTGGATAAAATCCCACATGACGTAAACGAGTGCCAAATGACGAGACGCAAATGAGTGATGACTGCGATTAATAGAATACTTTGGACATTTATTATCTATGGTCAGTTTGTTGAGTTTTTGCAAGTAAGAAATAGAATAATAGAATATGTCATTAATTTAGAAGTCCTTCTGAAATCCTTCTAAGCAAATAATGCATTATTTTGCATCGTATGTGAGAAAATGTAATTTTTTTATAATATGTTAGTAAATATTAATCTGCTTGAATGCAACTAGGACTTACATTTTAGTGTAAAAGTTATATATAGTTACCTATAGAATTCATGAATGTTAGTGGAAATAATTTTTCTACTCACAATCTATTATAGGTTTTATTAGTGTTAAAAAAGAGTATGGGCTACCGGTTTGCTGTTTATAAACTTGTACAGCATCTTAGAGCCCTCAAGAAACTAAGTCTAAAATACTTAGTGCTTATAAACAAATACATTTAATACAATCCACTTAACTCATAATAAACCTACAATGGATTGTAAATAGAAGACTTATTTCCCTAAAATTGGAAAAACCTTTTCATCAACCATAAAATTATTTTTTGACTGGAACACTGGAACACTGGAACATAAGTTTTGACAAAGAATATAGAAGCCTTAGTCGAAATTAAATCTATATATATATATATATATATATATATATATATATATATATATATATATATATATATATATATATATTCAAGAAAAGCAGTACGACCGTTAATCCACTATAAATTAAGGATCACTTGAAGAGTGGTGGGTTTTTTGGTCAAAAAGTGGAGAAAAGGACAAAGAAGATGGCTACTTCATCTATTTAATAGAAGATGTTTTGCTCTCTATTCTTCATATATCTCAAATTTCTCACGCCAAATTCTAACAAATCTTGCTTCATTGCTTCCAACTATTTCTTCTTTGGATATCCTCTTCTTTTTTCCCCATTTATCCTCCTTCAGTATTGTTTTAACATTTCCATTTACTGGCCGTATAATGTGATCAACCAATCAAGCTCTTTGAGTTCGTATTTTTGTCGTAATTGCTGGTTTTCCATATATTTTCATTATTTCTTTATTTGTTTATCTTCTCCAAATACTCTCTGCCGTCTTTATTTTTCCGAAGATTTTTCTGAGCACCTTTCTTTTCCAAATCTCTACTTATTTTTCTTCCTGTTGGTTCATAATCCAAGTTTCACTGGTATACATCATTGTGGGTCTGATTACAGTCTCGTAGATTTGCAGTTTAGCTGTTTTTGGCACATTTTTTGCTTTCGGTAATGAATTTAGTAAGCTGAGTCCCTTCATTACTCTTTTTTTTGGTATGTTATTAATCCGTATTTTTAGCTTCTTCTTTAAATTTCTGGAAAACTTTTTCTAAATGTTTTTTGTTCTCGCTAGTATCACCAAATCATCCGCATACACTATGCACTCTTACCTGCTATTGAAAATAGTCCTGTTTGTACTCATATTTAATTTTCTTACGATTTGTTCGAATACTATGTTGAATAAATTTGTTGATAGCGGATTCCCTTGTTTTAAACCTTTATTCACTGTGAACTATCTTGAAAAGCTTTCGTTGATTGTTACCCTATTTATTGTGTTTTTAAGCGTTATTCTCACTAGCTTTATCAGCTTTTCTGGTATTTCTAATGTTCTCATGGCCTTATATAGTATCGTTTGATTTAGGGAGTTATATGCTTATTTAAAATCGATAAATAGAATATGTAATCCTAAGTTTTGTTTGTAGCTATTTTAGTGGTCTAAAACCTCCCTGGTAACCTCCAATCACTTTGTTGTCATATTTTATTATTCTTTTCCTAATAATTTTATAGTGTATTTTATAGGCTACTTCTAATAGTGCTATACCTCTATAATTTGCGCACTGCGCTTTGTCTCTTTTTATAGATAGGATAAATAAGAACGGTGTTCCATTGTTTCGGCATTTCTTTGTTTTGCCAAATTATAAGTGCCAAGTGAGATATCCTTTCCTTTAATCTTTCGCCACTTTTCTTAAAAATCTCAGCTAGCTATCCTAGCAGGATATCTCTTCCTTCTGCACTTTTTATGGTTTCTTTTTCTTTCTTTGACTTTATTAAATGTTGGTTCCTTGCATGTTCCTTTTTTATCTCATTGCCAATTCTCATTTCTCATCTTCATCTTTTATGTTTTTCTTGTTGGTCTGTATTTAATAGATCTTCGAAATATTGCGCCCATCTGTTTAAATTTTCTGTTGTTTCACCTAGAAGTATGCTTTCTTTGTTTCTGTAATGCCTTCTTGCCTTCTTCTATGTTTTTCAATTGCTTCTCTAACTGTTCTCTTTTCCTTTTTTTGCAAATTCTTTTCACTTCCCTTCTTCTTGTCACATAGTTTTCTTCAGTCTTGCCTTCTTTTTATATGCTCTCTTTCTTTACACGTTTCCGCTTCTTTTGACATGGGTGTCTTTATTGTCTGCCCCACTCTTCTTCTATATCCCGTTCCACTGAATTCTCTAGGTTTTTCTTTATTTATTCCTCTAGTCTGTTTACAACCTGCTTCTCTTGAAGGCGCTCTAATTTTTAATTTAATCTATCTGTAACAGGTTTTGGAATTATTGGTAGTTCTTGTTTTAGTTTTGCTATTATTGGTATATGGTCATTGTTGCTATCTGCTCCTCTGTAAATCCTGCAATCGATTATTGCCTCATTATTTTTGATCTCAGTTAGGACGTGATATATCTGATTTTTTTTATTTTTCTATCGGGAAAAGTCCTTGTTACCTCATGAATGTCTTTGTGATCAAACCTTGTGCTAGCTATCTTCATTTTGTTCTCTGTAGCAAATTCTATTAACTTTCTCCCATTTTCATTTGATTGCTTATGTCCTTATTGTCTTACTCTCAAATAACATACTGCCTGGTATTGGCTGAAAATCTACAAATGCTTTATTTACTTTCTCCGACACTCTAGAACAGTTTGCTCTTTCCTTTTTTTATTATTTTATTTCCCAGTTGTTTCTTTTCTTGCAGGGCAAGGATCTTCTTCTTCTTCTTTCAGTGCCCTGTTATTGAACGTTGGCGATCATATTGGCAATAATAACCTTATTCACGGCGGCTCTAAATAAATTAAAGGTGGTTTCTTGATACCATTCTCGGAGATTTCGTAGCCAGGATGTTTTTCGTCGGCCTGGGCCTCTCCTTCCGTCGATCTTACCTAGGGCAATGATATCTATGGTATATTTTTCCATAATTTGGTGTAAGTTTCTTAAAGCTCCCTGCTTATAAGTACCTCTTACATTCGCAATCATTCGCAATTTTTATTATGTCTTTGGATTGTTGCCTTTCTTTTGTGTCTATTTTTTCGTTTTTCATGGTCGTATTCTATTGCTTTGCCGTTTCGGTATCATATCTCCCCGATTGTTTTCTTCTAGTAGCTTTTTGGAAATTTTCTTTGGTATTTTCTTTTAGTTGTTGTTTTTCTTTATCCCATATCCATTCTTTCCAATTTACGAACAACTTTTTATAGCCTATTTTTGTCTGTTTGTCTTTACTTTTTTGTTTTTGTCCTTCTTTTTCTTTCAGTGTTTTATTGTTATTTATGTAGATGCTTACTTTATGGTACTTCAACTTACTTTTAATGCAGTTCTTGTGACATAAATGTTTGCTCGTTTTCTTTTAGTTTTTTATTATCATTTATATCTACATATTTTTAAACCCGATATAATCAATATTTCTTTTTACTGTTTTTCTTCAGTTGTTTCATTCTGTCTGGTAATTCTTTCACGCCGTTTTTCATTTTCTGTTTTCCTTCTCTATCTCTTGTAGTTGTTTATTATTTTCCATTTGTTCTTTTCTTATTGCCCTTATTTCATTCATCATTTTTTAATTTTTTTCCATTAGTTGTTGCATCATTTAATCATAATATCCTCTTTCTCTTCCTTTCTCTCCGCTTCACTTTTAGAAGGTATACGCTTTGTCATTTTACTTCTTCGAAAATATTTATGCTGGTCTCTTTTCTTGCGTTTCGTTTCTTCATCTGTATCTATTTCGCTCTTGGTTCCTTCGTCACTTCTATTCATTTTCCTAAATTAATAAGACTTTTTTATTGCAATAACAATTATTATTTCTTTTTTTAATTTAATTTAATTCTAACATATCTTTAATCTAATTTATTTTTAGGCCAGATTTGGATTTTTGTAATAAAAGTATGTGGCTTTTATTTTGACACCCAATTTCTTGTCGATACTGATTACTTTCTTATCTGCCAGAAAACGTGTCTAAAGGTATTTCCTTCATATACTACTATCACGTGTATGCACTAATTTTTAACAGTTATTTTTAAAGCTCTGTTGAATTTTAACTTTCAAATAATTTCCAAATTATTTGAAATTTATTGCAAAGCGAAAATAAACAGAATTACTGTTGTCACTTGTAAGACCTTTAGACCTTGTAAAGTCTTTATCCTCAACTGTCACTAGAAATAAGTTTAATTGTATGAATCTGATCCTTTAACAAACTGTATATTTTTGCAAATCCTAATTCTCTGCGTTATGATAATTAGATTAAACATCAAAATTGGTAAGAAATCTTTCTCAAAACTTATGTTCCATAATATATATTAAATAATTAAAAAAAAAACATCGACGGCATTTCAATATTTTTTAAACAGTACATACATTTTGTGCAATAAATGTATTTATTTTTGCGTTAACTAGTAAGTCTGTATTAAATTTAATAAAAATTTTAGAACTTACTTTTTTTATTTTATACTACCAATATGGATCCTATATACTAATAATCTTCAAACCAGTGGCGCACACACCAAAAATACTGTCAAAAACTTTGATAACGAACTGAGCAAAAATTTTGATTGAAAAAAATTTAAATATCCAATAAAAGAATTCTTCGTCCTGAATTATTTTCTTTTCTCTTTCTGTTTGTAGTATGCTAAAGTGCCCTCCCCTTCATTGGTGTGATATATTGTAGATTCAATTTCTCATAACTGGAAGAAAGTTAAAAAGAAGATTCTTCTTGATATGCTATGTACAAAATTGCACGTCGGCGATCAAATATCCAATAAATTTCCATAACCGTAAGACGACAGGAAAACCCTTTTCGGTCAGGCTAAATACAGCGGAATATAGCGGAATCTTATGTTCAATACCAGTTCCTTATATTTCTTAGCGAGAAATATTATGTTCTGCAAGTTCCGCGTTTTCCTTCAATTTTTCCTTATAATATCAGTTTTGGTATTGCGTATCACGGTTCTCTCAAACACATGGCTCAAAAAAGATATTTTAGGATGTTTTACTGTATTCAACAATGGTCTTTCCCCACTAGTCCTTTTCACAACTTCATTATTAGTGAGATGAGCAGTTCACGGAATATGTAGCAGTAGAGGTAAGGGCTAGCCGCTCAAAAGCTTTGTAGTCTTTTTTCATCATATTGATAGCACATTATGTATGCAAATCCTCAACAGGTCAATAAACCATAGGCGTCACCCCATACTTGTTTTGAAATAAATAAATAAAAAATAAATAAAAAATAATATTTTAAGATGCCGTCAACAATTCATAATCTTTTAAAAAATCTTCTGTAAAATAAGTGTCCACTAATCTCACTATACCTTTTTTGTGCGTAAAAAACTTCGGTATATATGCCACACGATTATTGTTAATTATACACGGGTGATTAATGAGAGAATTCAATGTATTACGAAATAAATTAATGTAAACAGTAATTTAAAGGTAATTATTGTTTTCTATACAAGTTATCGCCTGACATAAAAAGAATACCTTCTTTGAACGATTACCTGGAATTACTAATAAGGCTTCACTAATGATAGTTTAAGTAGTTTTTATGCCACATTACAGCTTATGCCAATAATATAAATTAGAAATTGTTTGCATCTTCCATTTAGTTTGTAGATGTACATTGTTCTTGTCTTACCTACCTACGTTTTTGGTGTCGATATTTTGTTATTTGCATTTAAAAAGGTCGTCGACAACAGGTTTTATATCGGTTAAGTGTAGTTTAAAGGTGCCTTCACTCTAAGAGAAAAAAATGTAATATTAAATGTACACGATGTACTTGTACATCAACGCCCTTTAAGTAATGTTCGTGAAATCTTTAACATGTGTTCAAATATGATAGGGGTTGGAGAAGCAACAATTTATAGATTCCTAAAAGAAAGAAAAGGAGGAACTGTTTCATCTCCCAAGAACAGTGGAGGAAGTAAACCCTTGGAAATGAAAGAAATACATAAAAACATGATAAGACGCAGCGTCCACTCATTTTTTTTTAA